ATATAGCTAGTTCATGCTGCTCTTAGTACTTGTCCTTTCATGTCTGTGTTCTTTGTTCTGAACTTAAGTGATTTGATTTTGTGGTGTTATATATGAACGCTTATAATATCATGACAATCATGTTGAACTCGATGATATTTTTGCTTCTGGTACAAGTGAATGTTTCTTCTTTAAGCTAGTAGTGCTGGTGGTGATTAGATAGCGGTAATGCATGACTATGATGATTAATATGATGATGATGACGAGTTATTATATCATTTAATGAAGAAACCACATATTAGTTTCAGCTGGATGGATCCTAGCTACCTAAGTGATCAAGTATATGCCATTCGTATATATTATACTTGATCAAGTATAATATGGATATGGCATATACTAGATCACTTAGCTAGTAGCTAGATCCAATGCATCCAGTCGAAACTAATCCGTGGTACTTTCACCTAATGATTTAACAACTCATTATAATGTAAAACAATCACTAAATTAAATTGAAAACACAAAATTAAAGAAAAATTAAAAAAACACCCAAACATTTAGTACCGGTTGGTGTTACCAACCGGTACTAATGCCCTACACGCACCCGGGCCTGGCTCGTTCCACGTGGTGGCACTTTAGCGCCGGTTCGTGACGAACCGGTACTAAAGGGGGGGACCTTTAGTCCCCACTCTTTAGTGCCGGTTGGCGAACCGGCACTAAAGGCCGTCACGAACTGGCACTAAAGGTCGGTTCTGTACTAGTGACCTCGCTGCAGAAAGGAAGACTCCAGAATTCACGGGAACACTTGAGAAGCAAAGAGAACACTGGACGATTTCGTGACCTTCAAGGATCCAGAACTATCTAAGGAACGGTCGATGAAAAACAAGGCAAATGCCGCAAAAAAGACACAGTTCCATAGGCTGGGTCCAGGTGGCTACTCGGTGGGATTGTCTGAGTGGGATAAGTCTGAGCAAGAGATGGAGGATGCAGGGGTCACTCCGGTTACTAGGAACTGCCCCCTAGATGCAGAACTTGGTTCTATGCGCATGGGGGGTGTTGGACCCGAAGACAGGCGAAGTTTCGCCGAAGGCAAATCTAAAAGGAGCCGAACAAAAGATACTTGACGCAATAGAAGCAGCTCGAAGGGGGGTGTTCATGCCCAACAGAGAGAACGACGAGCTTACGCGCGCCCTGGGAAACCTGAACACCCGGGAAGAACACGAGGCAAGGGCGTTATTCCCTGGTATGAGGGCTTTTCAGAATGGAACGAGGACTACAAGACCCGTGCAAGAAGGAAGATGGAGGAGGAGAAGAAAAGGTAGCTGGAGGAGGAGCAGAGGAAGCAGGACGCAGAACGCCTTCAAGGCCTAGAAGCAAGGCACGCGGACCTAGCACTCAAATTCCAGCAGCAGCAGCAGCAGCAGCAGATCGACTCACTTAGCCAGGAAAGGGGGTCTCAGCAGCGGCAGCAGCAAGCGGATGATCGTCCAGCATTGGATAGCACCGTCCCATCCATGCCGAGAAGCAGCGTTGGTTCTGCCCCGGGCGACACACTGCTGGATACATACCCTGTGGATGATATCATAGAGAACACTAAGTGTGAGCTACACTCCAAAATGAAGAACATATCCATGAAGGTGGCGAACACTAAGTGTAATTATCCTCACTATATATTCTTTTCTGTGGTATTATATGCAGGATGAAGATGTATGAAATGAAAAAATCTGGATGCTATGGCATTGGGTTCATTGACCCAAATACCATTAATAAGTACACATGGAATCTTGCAACTTCTCAAGCAAGTGTAGAGGAAAGCATGCCAGAGTTCTTGAAGTGCCTCAATACCAGTGAAGATATACTACTTCCTTACAACTTTCGGTGAGTTAATACAAGTTCTGTTTTTGCTTACTAGCTAGCTAGATGTTAATAATTAAGTGTATACGGTTTACGATAGTTGATTAATTTTATGCACATGCCCGCTTAATTAAGACATGCAAACGTGTGCGCATGCAGTTTCCAATGGATCTTGTTAGTCATTAAAGTTGACAAAGCAACAGTTGAAGTACTCGACTCGCTACTTAAAGAAGATAAAGACTACACCATCATGAAGGGGATAGTCAACAGGTAATTTCAATCATTATTAACTATATCTTGGCCTATTATTAGTTCGTAATTTCCTGATATGAACTATTTAATAACCCCTTTATTATTTTCTTTGCTGGCGGGCAGGGCTTGGGCAAAGTTCATCAAGGTGACTCCAGGCAAATGGCCAAAAAAGTTGTTTTGGCATCGACCAAGGGTAAGTAATTAAGTAGTACTAGCTAGCTAGCTATCTCTTTAATTCTTGTTTCAATACCATTAATTAATTATCATGCTTGATTAATCATTGTCTGATTCAATTCCATTCTCGTAAAGGCCCTGAAGCAGGCGTCGGGGAATGATCTATGTGCATTCTATGTTTGCGAGAACATTCGCATGATGGCGTCCGAAAGGAGCAGATCTCAAAGACAGGATTGGGTACGTTGTCAGAACTCTATTCACACCATTATCGATATCTTGTAACATAACTAATACACATGCATATTGATCTCCTTCTTAACAGTTCAGAGAGGTGCAGGATAAGCTCCTACCAGCGGACCGCATACTAGCACTTCAAGAGGAAATAGCCGGATTTTTGCTCGACTAGGTCATAGATTCCAAAGGAGAATACTATTACCCGCTACAACCCCCATGAACCACTTGTCATCGTGCATGCTCCGAAGGCACCAAGGCAACATGTAGGGGAAATTGTATATGCATATACATGTGTATGTGTGAATAGTTAATGGTGTTGACTGTGAGACATTCGATGATATATATATATATATATATATATATACATATATATATATATATATATATATGCGGTTCTACGTACGAGAAAATCTATTTATATATATGCATAACGTGTAAAATTTGTAGTATCGTGAAATACCAGCAAACAAAAAAGAATTAAATTAAAAATAAAGCCAAATTGAAAACACAAAATTAAAGCAAAATTTTAAAAAAAAAACACCCAAACATTTAGTACAGGTTGGTGTTACCAACCGGTACTAATGTCCTACACGCACCCGGGCCTGGCTCGTGCCACGTGGTGGCTCTTTAGCGCTGATTTGTGATGAACCGGTACTAAAGGGGGGACCTTTAGTCCCCACTCTTTAGTGCCGGTTGGCGAACCATAAAGGCCATCACGAACCGGCACTAAAGGCCGGTTCTGCACTAGTGGAATGGTGATGATTTCATATGATAATACGTTGGTTAGCGAAAGCTCTATGGTTTAGGCTTTGATATCAATAGGTGTGTTAGGTGGTAACTCCAGCCGTGCCCCCAGCACGGCGTCCCGAGGCGATTTTTTCGCACAGGCGCCGAAAAAAGGCCCTGTCGCGCCCTCAAGATCCCGTTTTTTGTCGGTTTGGGCCGAAGTTAGTGCCAGCGGATCCAGACCGTACCCGACGTGCTGGGGGGCGTCTGAGGGCGCCGGGGCGAGCGGTTTTGGCGGAAAAGAGCCGCGGGCCCGCCGAGTCGGTCAGACGCTGCTTCGTCGCCCTCATTGCCTCGGTTCCCGCGGGAATCAATGCCAAGGCTGTCGTGCAGCCGTGCTGGTCAGCCTCCATTGATGTCTCACGGGCGGCGCAGTGAAGCCGCCGCCGACGCGCGTCCCGCCCGCTCCAGCCAAGCGTCGTCCCGCATGCCGCCTCCCCGCCGCCCCGCTTGGGCTATAAAAGGCACCCACTCCCCGTCGGTGAGCACCACAACCTCCCCCTCTCGCTCTCGCAAAAAGCCATCTCCCCACCGATGAGCAAAACAAAGATGGTCGAGAGGTTCCCAGGCGATGGCGCAGCGGCGAACGGCTTCGACCGCCAACACCTCGAAGAGTCGGAGGCGCGCCTCCTCTACGAGGTTGAGTACCCGGCACCCCCTGACATGCGCGTACCGGGGGCGTGGAGGCTGAGGGCTGGCGGCGTCCCGGTGCCACCGGTGCCAGAAGGGGCGGCATGGCGGGCGGAGATCGCCCGCATCCGCTCCTCCCTGACGGAGGAGCAGCGGAACCAGCTGAGGTACGCGCCCAACAGCGAGACGATATGGACGATGTTTTCCGAGCAGCGCCGCAAGGAGCAGATCGCCTCCGTCAATGGCATCATCCTCGGGGCCGCCTGAACGCCGAAGGGCGGCGCGAGTGGTGGGGCGTGCCCGGCCGCACCCTCGAGGTTGTCCTCGACCACATCGAGACCACCGTGGCCCTCCTTCTCTCGCCGCCGCGGCAGCTCCTGGACGCCGAGGCGGATGGAGCCAGGGTCGTCGTCGTCGTCGGGCTCCGGCTCGCCGGCCCTCCATCCCATCAGGCCCGAGCCGGAAGGGACACCGCTCGGGCGTCGCGCTCGCAGCGGCGCCCTCGCCATCAATGAGGGCGCTCGGCCCTCAGCGCCTGCCCCGGCACCGGCGAGGCTCTCCCTACGCCGGGTCCGGCCGAAGCCCGAGCCGGGGTTGCTTCCCGTGAAGCCGGAGAACGTCGACATGGTGGCCCCCGACGACGAGTCCGCCCTCAAATGGGCGAAGGAGGACTACGTCGGCGAGCAGGTGCGCCACCAGCGCCGGGCGTACCTGGAGCTCCAGGCCCGTCGCCGCGCCGAGGAGGGCGGCGTCATCGTCATCGACAGCGATGAGGAGGGCGAGGCCGGGCCGTCAAGCGCCCGACCACGTGTCGGCGACCCCAGCCAGGGCTACAGCAGGGACGTCGCAGGCGAGGCGCGCGACGACGACGACGACGGCGACGGCGGCGACTACACCCGCTTCTACAGGCCTCTCGGCATGTAGACGCCACCATCTCCTGCCCACACAAGCTATATATAACTGCGGCCGCCCATGAGAGCATCCATCCATTCTTCCTACTTGTACCAAGTTCTCACTTTTCACAGACCAACAGCACAACAGAGCATCGATCGAATTACAGATTACAGCGGATCGTTAAAACAAGCAGCAAATCCATGGGAGTGGGCATGAAGCGCGCGAGGGAGGAAGAGCCAGTTGTGTCGCTGGCGCTGTCGCTCAGCACAGACTCCTCGGCGACGTCCACCACGACGTCGGAGTCAGACAGTTCGACCGGTGCGCCGGCGATGGTCCCCAGGAAGAGGGCGCGGCGAGGGAGAGCTGTGGCCACGTCCGGGGAGGGGGAGTTCGTGTGCAAGACTTGCGGGCGTGCCTTCGAGACGTTCCAGGCGCTCGGCGGGCACCGGACTAGCCACCTGCGCGGCCGCCATGGGCTGGAGCTCGGCGTCGGCGTCGCCAGGGCCATCAAGCAGCGGAAGCGGCAGGAGGAAAAGCAGCACGACTGCCACATCTGCGGGCTGGGCTTCGAGACGGGCCAGGCGCTGGGCGGGCACATGCGGCGGCACCGCGAGGAGATGGCACTCAGCGGCGCCATGGACTGGTGGGTTGCGCTGTCGGATCAAGAGGCTGGGCACCAGCACGCCGCCGACCGGCCGCCAGTCTTTGCTCGAGCTGTTTGTCTAGTTAGCTAGCTCGATCTCTCTGCTTGCTAATTCAGGACTTGTGCAAATCTTCAGCATGGTACATTAGGTTTATGTTAATTGTGTTTTCAGAATGAGATAGCCTAATTGTTCGATAGAGTACGTTATTGCTGGTTAGAGTTCTCGTTCATGGAATTTTGCTTTGGATCGGTTCGTTTTCTTGACCGATTGACTGGGGATTTATATGCGCATGTGCATAGCTAAGACAAATTCTTTTGTTCTAAATGCGATGGACAGAATCTTGTCCTCAGACTGCTGTTCTATGAATATGCTGCTGTTCACGCCCATTGTGTATTTTTTTTTGCGGGGCCATTTTGTATATGATCACAATTCACAAATCCAATTCGGAGCCTAAATTTGTAAAATTCTGCAATATAAAACTCTACCATCACAATTTAAGATCGTCCAAACATTGACAATATAGTGGTGTCCGGAATATTAAGTGGTTTGAGATTTAGAAACCCGTGATCCACTACCTGTGTTTGATCTGTGATCTGTCTGTTCCAAAACATCTGCAGTGAGTGTACATCTGACAAGAGTGGCACATCGAGAGATATGAGCACAATAGTGACACGTGTCAACATTTGTGCAAGTGGAGAAGGAAATGAGAATTGAGAAGATGCGATAAATATCTACGTTGAGATGTTAACGAGACCCCATCATTGAACCACCACCAGAGACACAAATATGAAGTTGAAGTTCATGCTCATCAATAATGCATGCAATCCTAGTGTAGCTCCGCCCATGCATGCTACCATTTCCAAGTCGCATCACTTCAACAATGTATGCAATCATCCACCTACCACCCTTACTTGTGCTACCATCTCCAAGTTGAAGTTGCTAGTCCTCTCGAAGTGTTGGAGGAAATGATGATCAACAATACGCAAAATCATCGGCGGGGAAGCTAGAGTGTATCCAACAAAGAGAAAATGAGTGAGCAAAGAATATGTGATGGGGGGGGAGGGGGGGGGCGTGAAAGCTAGGCTTCGACTATGGATAACTAAATGATTATGTATGTACAAATTGGAAAAGTTGTACGAAGCTTTAAGTTTGTCGCCAATTGGTAGTTGCAGACCATTTGGCACATCAAAAAATAGGGAATGGTGATGACAACAATCCTGGCGATCGCCCGCAGCCCCTGATCTGCACCTATCAACCTGTTTTGTTGCCTCCTCCTAGGACTCCGTAGCTCGTTGTCAGACGCTGCAGCGTCCCCATATCCGACGAGGTCCTAACTCGACCTTGCCATGGTCGACGCTTGTCATGTTGCCTCCAGCTTGCGCCTCTGGCAAAGTAAAAAAAATGACTACGCCAATAATTTTGCAGGTACCTAATATCTAGCAAACATGCATAAAAAAGACGTAAAAGTCCTCTTTCACAATAAGAATGTCATCAATGGAAGTTCAATTACATTCTCATTCCCTTTAACAAATACTATTGTGAAAATATCACTGCAAGTGAAGCTTGACCGTAGCGTCACGGTTCTCTCAATAGATTTGTCGTAACTCCCTTTAGAAAAAAGATCGATCAGAACAATAGTTGGCATCACTCTATATGTCACGACAGATGACCTAACCTTTTTTTTCTTTCTGTATCTATACCCATGTATAGTGTCACAATAACTTTGAATATCGGTCGTTGGGTATGCTCGATCGAATGGTTGAAAGACGGCAAATCCAAACAAATATCATCCGTTGTATAAATTTTTCATCTCAGAAGATTCTGCTACGTAGCCTTTTAATTGAATCCCTACTATTATCTCATACTCCCTTCGTCCAGAAATACTTGTTGGAGAAACATCCATTTCTCTGAGAAGCATTTTCAGACGGAAGGAGTATTATTCTAGAAGTATCTTTTTCCTATGCCAAGAATCTGATTTGTCAATAAAAAAGGCCAATAGAACAATCGAGATTCTATAGAGTGGAGCCTGACTAGTATGATTTGTCAAAAAGAAAATAAATGTCGAGAATGCATTTCCCTTGCTATTATACATTTCCTGACGTGCAAAACACGTTACATATGTGTTAGAGCACACACCAAAGAAGTCTGAAGTCAGAAAGATTTGACGCAACAGGAAATCTTTCCACATACGTACTCCTTCCGCTATTGAATCCGTGTAATAGTTATGGTCAAAGTCAAATTTTATAAATTTTAACAAAATTTATAAACAAAAATATTAACATATACAATAACAAATCAATACCATTAGATTTATTATTAAATATACTTATCGAAAAATGCTTTCATCCCGCTTTATATATAAAGCAATGATCAACCACAGCCCAAGTACAAACGCTTCCCACGACAACACACGCACACACCCAAGGCGAGATACATAGACGCTGAGCGCAATAACAGCATCCCTAACACTACAAAATCAATCGGGGTCCTCCACCGTGAACATGCCACCGTGAAGAGATGAAGTTGCATATCACGGACCGTGTGCTCCAAGGTTCCGACGCTAACGTGTTGCCACCGCCCGACCCGAGAATCATAGTTTTCCCTGGAGCAACACGATGATCGATGAGAGTCGGGACGACGCCTTCAAGAAGGGAACGCGCTACGCTGCCGCCGTCTGTCCGAAAATAGATCATGTTTTCACCCCGGCCAACACTCACCGTCACCGAATGACACACCCAGCTACCATGCCGCCCACACGGCGATGGTCACCGGACAGCACCAAGCCACGGGTTCTGCCCATGAGCACCGCGCTACCACCACCAGGGCCGCCGCCCCGGCATCCAAGACCTTGACACCATCTCACCCGAGTCCCGTCGCTACCCCAACCACAGAGACGACTGGAAAGGCCTCGCCTTTCACACCCCTGGGTAGCCCCCAGCGCCGAGACCCGATAGACCGGACAAACTTTATAGATTTCACATCATATAGATTTGTCATGGTAATTTTTTTTATAAACTAGGTCAAACTTTATGAAGTAATCTCAGTCAAACCTAGAGTAAATAAAAACGAAAGAAGTATAATAGCACGTTCCAGACCCTTCCAGTCCGCACGCTCACGCCGGCGCCGCCGTCCAACTCTAGAGTTTGGATTAAATTAATGGATCAATCGCCGATTCCGGCCACCGCCCTCGTGGCCAAGCAGCGGCGCGGCGCCACGCGCCTTGTGGCGTGACAGGTGACGCCACTCAGCACCACACGTTCGCCGCCGGTCGACCGCGCTACGTACGACGGAAAATATCCAATCGAGCTATCTGCAAAACTGATATAATATCGGAGCTCGATCATATCCGTCACGTCAAGAACGTCGCGGTGGCTTCCGACGATTCGTCCGCAGGCGCCAGACGCCGGCCGGCCCGCACCAACTTGGCTCACACGTAAGCTCCCCCGGCAGCAACACGCACGCCACCGTCTCCTACCCACACAACCTATATATCACAAGCTATATATAACAGCGGCCGCCCATGAGAGCATCCATCCATTCTTCCTACTTGTACCAAGTTCTCACTTTTCACAGACCAACAGCACAACAGAGCATCGACCGAATTCCACGCGCGAGATTATTCAGATAAGCAGCGAATCCATGGGAGTGGGCATGAAGCGCGCGAGGGAGGAGGAGCGGGTTGTGTCGCTGGCGCTGTCGCTCAGCACAGACTCCTCGGCGACGTCCACCACGACGTCGGACAGCTCGACCGGTGCGCCGGCGATGGTCCCCAGGAAGAGGGCGCGGCGGGGGAGAGCTGTGGCCACGTCCGGGGAGGGGGAGTTTGTGTGCAAGACTTGCGGGCGTGCCTTCGAGACGTTCCAGGCGCTGGGCGGGCACCGGACCAGCCACCTCCGCGGCCGCCATGGGCTGGAGCTCGGCGTCGGCGTCGCCAGGGCCATCAAGCAGCGGAAGCGGCAGGAGGACAAGCAGCACGACTGCCACATCTGCGGGCTGGGCTTCGAGACGGGCCAGGCGCTGGGCGGGCACATGCGGCGGCACCGCGAGGAGATGTCACTCAGCGGCGCCATGGACCGGTGGGTCGCGCTGTCGGATCAAGAGGCTGGGCACCAGCACGCCGCCGTGGACCGGCCGCCAGTCTTGCTCGAGCTTTTTGTCTAGTTAGCTAGCTGGATCTTTGTGCAGCTCTGCTTGTTAGTAGTTCAGGACTTATTTCGCAGAAAAAAAAAATCATGACTTGTACATATCTTCAGAATGAGATTGGCTCATCGCTCGAGCGGTTCGTTTTCTTAACAGATACTGTACATAGCTAAGACAAATTCTTTTGTTGTAAATGTGATTGACAGAATCTTGTTCTCACACTGCTGTTCACCCCATTTTGTATTTTATTTTTGCGGGGCCATTTTGTATATGATCACAAGTCCAATTCGGAGCCTAAGTTTGTAAAATTTTGCAATATAAAGCTACCTTCACAACTTCGTCGAAACGTTAACAGTATAGTGGTGTCCGAAATATCAAGTGGTTTGAGATCTAGAAACCGCGATCCACTACCTGTGTTTTTATTTGTGTTCCGCCTGTTCGGAAACAGCTACCATAAGTCTACATCCCGACAGAGTGACCCATCGAGAGATATGAGCACACTATTGACAAATGTCGACATTTGTGCAAGTGGAGAAGGAAATGAGAATCGAGAAGATGCTATAAATATCTACTATGCTATAGTCACTTCTGAATATCGATTCATGTTTATCTAATACTCACCACACCCAAAAGCAGACATAGCTAAACGTAAGGCATGACGGTGGGTGCTTTGAAGATTAAGCAACTCTAACCGATCACAATACTTAACACCTAATAATTGACCAGTTTTGGGGGGTCTTGCAAAAATAATTAGACTATTGGGCGACCTTGTTTTAGTAGATCCTCAATAGACTCAACTCTCAAGAGAGTTACTTGTTGCTATTTCTCAACACTTCTGTGCATAAACCTCATTTCATCTTCGTTTTCAGATCATATTGATCTTAGCTTGTATGCTTCAACCAGACAAGAATAAGCAACATTTGAAATCCGTACTTTTGAAATTGGCACAAAACTTTATAACATTCCTACCCATTGCGAGGATTCACACATGTCCACGATGAGAAACAAGTATGTGTCTTTTGTTGCTCTTCTCCTTATCCTTTGGTGGCGAGTTGAGGAGAAACGAACAAGCCTCACATAACTTTATAACATTCGTACCCATTGCGAGGGATTCACACACATGTACAGGATGAGAAACAAGTATGTGTCTTTTGTTGCTCTTCTCCTTATCCTTTGCTGGTGAGTTGGGGAAAAAGAACAAGCCTCACATAACTTTATAACATTTCTACTCATTGCGAGGGATTCACACATGTCCAGGATGAGAAACAAGTATGTGTCTTTTGT